ATAGACTAAATGTTCACTATGGATAAATGTGGGATTTAGCATTTCTAGAACAGTAGTACTTCATAGGTCATAAAAGAACGAGTAATAATGTGACACTAATGAGTAAAGGACTTAAAGGTTTACCTGGTAAAATGAAGTGCATTAATAAACTTAGAAAGGGATCAGATGCAGCTAACAAAAGGATGTTCCATTTTAAGTAGGAATTCAGCTTTTTTGTTACAGATGAAAAGATCTTCCATAAAATTAAAGCAGTCTGTTTATAAAGAATTTTTTCTAAGGACCTACAAGTGAATCTGTGTTTTTCATTAGGAGGTAGCTTTAAAGAACATATTTAAGAAACTTGGCATCTGTTGTCAAGCCAGTTTGGGGCTTTTTAAAATTGTCTGTTACCGAAATTCATGCATCAGCAGAGACAGTTCTGTGGCAGTTGCCCATTTGGGGCAGTAGTCAGCTAGTCTGAGGTTGCTGGGCATCTCTGACATTCTTTCTATGGAATTCTGTGCTCTGCCTCCTGTCTGGCAGAGTCAGGTACTACGGACTTGGTTTCACTGTCCCCAAAAACTGTAGGAGTGTTGGCCTTTTTGGGAGAAGACCTCAAGAGTGTCAAAAACCAAGCAGAGAGTCACTAAAAATGGATGACTTTCAGCGTTTGGTGTGACCACCTTTGCTTGACGATGAGTGATGAGTTAATGAGAAATGGCCTGCATGTCGTGGCTGATTTAGGTAGTTATTTTTAGGAGATAACTGGTGTGTCCCACCTAGCCCAGGGTAGGGCTGGCAAGGTGTGGGTGTCGGTGTGTGTCAGAGTCAGGTGGGCTGGAAGCCAGGCCAGAGGCAGGTGCTGGTGATGTGCTTGCATTCACGTGCAGGTGAAGGTTGAAGGGGAGAGAGGGTGGGTGGAGGATGGGGATGGACAGGAAGGGTGGGAGATGGAAGGGGCAAACCAACAGCTCAGCAATGCTCTAGTGGAACGTGCTTCTCAACATGGCTGTGTTATTTTTGTGCTGCTTTACCACAGCATTAAGTAGCCAGAGTGTATCCCTGAATTGGGCAATAAAAGTTAAAATAAACAATTATTAAAGAATCAACATACTTCGTATTTGCAAATCATTTGAAAAACTGCAAGGTAGCAGGTTTTGGGCTGTTTGCTGGTTGTTTGTGTGTGAGTTTTGCAGTGTAATAAAGGTACATTGTTTCTGTTCTACAATGTTAAAATGGAATTAAGGTTAAGAATACATTCTGTTGTTGAGGACAAAATATATGAAAGGTATGTTGTAAATATCCACAGGCTAAGTACCATAAATCCAGGAAATACTCAGAATTAAGGTCAGACTTTAAAGAAATCCGAACAAATCAGGGTATGGAAATACAGAGCTACAATACATGATGACACTGAAGAGAAATCAGAACTTACTTGCCTGTGACATGATCATTTTGTCTCATGAGCAGAGTTGAAGTAATTCATGCACCTTGTTAGCAAATTTCAGTACCTTATTTACCTTCAGAAATTGTGGCTTAAAAAAAATGTAACATCTCTGTGAAGTGCCTTAATTTTGGGAAGGAACTTGAATGCTTACTTTATGCAGTTTGGGGGTTTTTATATTTTCAGAGATTGGGCTGTTAAAGATTTAATGCTCTCATTTGGCCTTTGTGCACATCCAGCTATGTTACCAGTATCCATGTCATACCAGTTTAGGAGACTGGCAAGGTAACAAGTACAATTATGAAACATAAAGGAAGTATGTAGCAGTAGGAACATTCATGAAATTCATGAAAAGTATAAAATCCAAGCAGGTACAAGGGCTTTGAAATTTCTGCCATGCACCTTCTTTCATCTGTGGAGTTCAGCTGCACAAAAATCATAGTCCCGTTCTCGGCCATAGTGGGAACCTGTTTTCAGAACTGGGATTAGAGTTCATATATTCTAGATTGGTTTTTTTAATCTATTATATGTGACTTCCACTGAGCAGTCCCTGTCTAACTAACTGAGTAAAATTGAGGTCAGCTGAAAACATGCACAATTTCCAATTATTTTTGCATGTTTCTAAAATCCCTTAACTCTATGTTCTGTAACTTTAGAGCAAACTTAAACCGAATGCACACATACACACGTACTACTGTGGTAAAGAACTGCTTAATTTCTTGTGCTGGCTGCATCCTTCAAGCTCACTCAAGAAGCAGGCCTGCCTGAGCACATCACTTTCATGGTCCTCCTAATGAAATATGAGTCTCACTTGGCTCAGATGCCTGCCTTGAAATACATTTTTCCCCAGAGAGCTGTGAAGTTCCTTCATTTGTTGCAGTGGGATCTTTCTGCTGATGGAATTACCATGGCTGTGGATTGCAAACCAGGGAAAATGCTCTTCCCTGTCTCTTCTCCAATGTGCTCCTCTAGAGCACCTCCCTCCAAGCCTTGCATGGTAGTGTCAGCACTGTCACCTGCCCCTCCTCTTTCACACCCTCAGCTTGTTTTTAAAAAGACAGTTTTTTCCTTTCTTCGCTGTCTTGTTATTTGATTTGCAGGAGGGGGTAGCTGGCCTGGAGCCATGTTAGGAATAATTAAGTTTACATTTATGCATTTGCGCTTCTTGCAGAGTGAATGTGAACTGATGGGAATCTTTCACAAAAGAACTCCAGCACATCCTAGAATCTTCTCTCCTAGGATGCTTTCTTCAAATACCAGCCCCTACCCAAGGCAGGCCATGATGCTGATTGCTCCAGAGTCCTTGCTTGAGGTTCATTCTGCTTCTTTCATTTAAATAAATTCATACTGCTTCTCATTCGTGCTGTCAGTCTCTTTGCCCTCAAGAAATAGGTTTGTACTCCATCTGTGCCAAGCGCTCACACATTAATTGGTAAGAGCAGTTACAGTTTGGGGCTAAAACGGATTTTAAAAGTTGTAGTTTTCTGATGGCTTTGGAGGGTTATGCTTAAATCTGAGGCCTGTGTTTGTTTATCCTACAGGATATACAGACAGTCTGAAGATCAGAAGGGACTAGAAATGCCCTTACATAAAAGACTACCTGTACTTACTGTGCCTTTTCTAAATTCATTTGGGTGTCATGATGGCTTCTGAAGATGTTTCCCATAGGCACGAGATCACACAGCTTTTTTATGCAGAGGGTTGTTCTGTTAAAATTAACCCTGTAGTCATGTTGGAAAGGACCACATTCCCTTTAAACAGAAACCTTACTGACAGTTTTTCACTTCTGTGGTAGGTGTTTCCAGATGGGTAATGAGCCTGTCTGATGAGATCAGTTTTAGTCAGACAAAACAAATCATTCTTTCTTGACATCATGGATGTGTGTCAGGTATTTTGCTACAGTTTATCACCTATCACTGTTTTCTCCACCTTGGAAGTTTTCTTTAGAACTGAAGCTGCTTACCTGTGCCAGAGCCAAAGGTGTGCACAAGCTCTTGGCAAAGCTGCCCTGTAGCAGAGGCCCTTCTGGAGGATACTTGCTTTCCTGAAGAAACAAGGTGCAGGTAAGCCAAACATAACCCTAATTGTGCACCCGGCCTGTACAGTAACTGGGAACTTCTTGTGTATTGCTGAAGCACAAATGAAGTGCAAATCTTGTAATAAATCTCCCAAGTATGATCAAATTGCAATTACTACCAAGAATATTGAAAAGACAGTAACTCCCATTTTGTTGCCCAGGATGGCTGGCTTGGAGCTCTCCTGCCACAGAAATATTGACACTGCCACAGTGTTTATTTAAAAACATTTATTTGAATTTTTTTTCTACAGTTAAAAAGATACCTGTTAATAAAATTCAGTAGATTACCAATAGAGTATTTTCTTCAAAGCATAAGGCATAACAGTCAAGTGTCTCATATAAGTGTTAGACTTGAGAGGCTGGACTGTATTTGTATAAATACCTCCCAATAGCAAAAATTTTTGTTCCACATTATTGACCAATTTAGAAGGCAAATTTTGACAGCCTATTTATTTCAGCTGAAAAGACAACTAGCAGAAGATGTGTTCTCTTGCTATTTTTATTCTCTCAAAGATGAGGAGACAGCACTTCTTCCCACTTTCTGTCTTCCATTGTTTTATAGGATTCTCTTAGATCCTTTCCAGTAATTTCTTCAAATAGGATTTTGTCCCAGAATTGTTGTTTTTTGCTATCTTTAAAAAAAGTCCAAAATCATTTAAGGACGAGAGGGTGGGAGGGAAGCTGTGGGTGTGTTGAGCCTTTTGAGAAGAAAAAGATCTTTCTTAGTAAAACCTTGGAAGTATTAAAATCATGGGAGTCTGGGTACTTCTAAGAATCTCTTCTCTGTCACATACTCCCTTCTCTCATGGTCACTGGTTTTTTGCAGTGTAATGTTCCATATTAGTATGTTTTCATCTTTTTTAACTCATAGTGAGAAACACCATCTCAATGTCGGGTTCTCCCATCAGCCACAGAGGCATGTACAAGACAAGTCTCTATGCTGCTGTTCATGCCTTATAGGTGTATGTAGATAGTCATGGGTTTTTAAAAATGAAGCAGGAGTCAGCTCTCTATGTGAAATAATTGCCTCTCTGTAACTTATTGAAAAATATTCCGTGTACCTGGGAGGAAGGCATTGGAAGAGAAATGTTCAGTCTGCAAGCCCTTGTGATTTATCTCCACTAACCTCGTCAATCCCATCAGTTACACGCTGCCCTTTGTTCCAACCTATTTTGATTTTACTGTGTATAAAATTTGCATTCACTCATAAATTTAGCGTAGGTTCATCTTCTCTTTTTGACTCCATGGGGTGGCACATCTTGAGCTCTTGAAACGCTGAGTCGAGCAAATGATGTCCCAAGTGCTTCATTTGTTCTCCTCATGTCTGGCATTCAGTTGCTGTCTTTATCAGCTGGTACCTACACAGATACAGCAGGTTTTTATCACTGCAAGTGGAACTGTTGAGTAGTTTTTGGTTGTGCAACCCAGGAGCCTGAGGAAAATTCCTGCTGTCTTTTGTCAACAACCTCTGCCCCAAAAATGGCTTTTCAACATCAGAACTGCATTAATAAAATGTTTATTTAGCACCTTTAAGGTTGAAGGATCCAAAAGCACTTTACAAATAACTACACACATCATCACTGAAATGCATCCAAGCAGAAAATCAGCAGACAACTCACTGCATACATTTCAAAAAGAACAGACCGTGGCCAGCTGCTTGGCCAGAAAGCAAAGTTGAGGTTTGAATGACCTGTCACAAACAGGGATCGGATTTGGGGTTGGCTTTTAAGGTCTCATCTGAAAAACCGACACGGTAAAGCTGCATTCAAGCCAATTTAGCCACATCAGGAAACTGAACATTTGCATCAGCCCTGCCAGGATTAGAGTCTGTGGTGCCAGGGAGTCTGGCCTAATCCTAACCTGACATTTAGATGGCTAAACCATCCCCTCAAGGTAGAGGACATACCCAGTAAATTCAAGTTGCAAGTATATAGTAACACAGTGCTGTTTTTTCATCCAGAATTCAGCTGTTTATACATAAACATCCCACATGCAGAGTCTCTGCCTCTTTGCAAGCACCAGGCATCAATTTACAGATCTGTAACTTTTCCAGCTTTGGGGGAAGGGGAAATGTGACCTTCAGAGCTTAAGTAGCTACAATAGTCTTTCCAGGGAAGTAGTAGAAGGCACTTGGCACAGCTGAACAAAGCACCTGGAAATTATCGGGAATGATCCTCGTTCCTTGGGAGGACAAAGATTACCTGCGCCCTTTCCAGACATAATGTTGACAGTTCATAAGAAGTATAGGCCAAATAAATTCTGAGCAATGTCTCCTTTTCTACAGAAGTACTCTCAAATGCTGGAAACATCTCATGAACATACACAGCCCAGTTCATCCTTGTTGCAACTTGACAGAAGAACTTGGGCATAAAAGTGTAAATGTGGCTTTGTTACTCTGAACTACATCTCCTGGCTGTAACAAGGATTATGTTTTCCACTTCAGCAAAGGAAAATTATAAGGCTATTTTTATACAATTTGAAAGCACTTAATATAAAGTTACATTAATACACTGCATCATATGGCCTATCTGTGGAGAAAATACTGAAATACTACCATAGGGCTGTTCAATACTAGTTTTTTCTTTCAACTTTTTATCTTAATACTAGAAAATATATAAATCATTTACATGACTTTATGCAAAAGAAGGCACAGCCGGTTATAGTTTACACAAGCGCAATGCATAATATGCAGAAAAAGGGATTAAAAAGAAGCTTCACATCCCTAATAGATACATTGTTGCAATCCATTAAGAAAAGTACTTCATCAACAACAGAAGTGTTCAACACTTGAGAGCTATGATATAAAAAAATTATAATTCATTTAATGCATAACAGATTTATATATACTTTTATATATAAACACTGTTGAAAAATGCTAACATAATAAAAGTAGATTATCCATGTAATGAAAAGTGCAAACCAAAGTAATAAAGGGTTTCACAATGTCCTTCTCATGACACAGGAAAAACTAGCCCATAGGAATGAAGTGTTAAATCCACCAATACATCCTTGGTGTGATGAGGCATCATCAGGATTTCTGAGCATTTGGAGAAAGCAGTATTGGTGAAGAGGATCTGTCCAGACTGGGGAGTGGCACTGGTATGTGACCATTTAGCAGAGTAGGAAACTGTAAGAGGCCAAAAGGTAGAAATTACTGTTCATCTCAAAACATTCAGCCCAAGAAGCACATGGCTTTAGCATTAGCAACTGGCTCCAGATGGTTTCAAGAGTTGTGATGTCTATACAGTGAGACATCTACCAAATGCCTGCATCAGCCGTTAGGAATGCAAGATAGAGGACAAAACCCAAATAATTTGTAAGTGCATGAGGATATAAAAATCTGTTAATGGCTATTTTTTATATAAAAGTTCACACAATACATTTATCATCACCCTGGAAAAGTAAACACTACATAACAACCTTTGCCATCCATTCTGTTTCCAAAAATATTTTTTCAGTCTACACATTATTAATTGCAATACATCGTTTTTGTCTTTTTTTTATGCAGAAGTTTGGCAAAAGTGAAAGTTCAGGTGTAGTTTTAGGGCAGAAAAAGTACAACTGGGATACAAAGCTTGGGGGAAATTACTCTCAAGTAATTACAGTTTCTGTATTCACTCAGAAACTACAAACTAACTACACCATTCAGCATGCAAAGCAGAATGTGTAGTCACTTATTGTCACCTGCTGCTTCAGAAGTGCTGTGCAAAAAACTGATCCACTACAGAAGCTGTACAGTCCTAGTTCATGACGGCATTGTGACTGCACCTTGCCTGCAGGGTGGGTATTGACTAGTTCTTAACATCTGACCTGACAAAAAGTAAAGCAAGTAGGTGGAATAAACTTGCTGCAGCATGAGGCAGGAATTATCCCAGTGGTAGATACTGATCTGGCCTCGAGGCCCAGCTCCATGAGCTGTGCTGGGTTTCTGTTGGCTTGAGGAAGACAGAGCTGAACAACTTCAAGCATCTGGTGTATTTTTACCCCTTATCAGATCAGTCCTTGGACAGCCAGCTGTGGTGTAACCACACCCTCCACATGCATATAATGACGTGCTCCTAACAAGTTTCCTCTTCCACTCAGATGGTAGTTGGTGATACCTGTCTTCCACCACCCCGCGTAAAGCCAGGCCGAGCAGCGCAGCGCTGCAGGGCACCGTGCTCCTGGCGTGGCCCAAACTGGCTGATGCCTCTGCTTTAACCACACCAAACCTCAGGAAAGGCTTCCACCACTTCTGCCAAGATTCGTTAAATCGCAGAACCTGATTACAAGCTCTTCCCTGGGTACGCATGGAGCGTGAGCTGGCCTGTGCAGGCAGCCTGAGGAGAGCTTTACCCTGACGCCTACACTGGCTGACCCTTCAGTTCTAGGTGGGCTTGGATGGAATTCAGCTGTGGTTTTCGTTTCCTGTTTCTGTTAAAACAAGGCTTTGTGCTCTACAACATGTCATCATGGCCTTTGCTTGAATCAAACATCATTTATAAGGCCCTTTGGGTCTCTCAGCAGGGAAAGCCAAGGCCACTCCTCTCTTTCAGTTCCCCCAGGGAATGGCCAACGTGTCAAGCTCATTCCAGGTCTCGGCACAGGCACTTCTCAGGTGAAATGTCTGCACGTTTCTAACCACGCGTGCAAGACTAAGGTCCAGTAGGGATTAATGAGTTTCTCGAAAACACAAATAAGAAGCCCTGAGCTCCATGTGCAGCTGGAGGTAGAAAGACTATCCCAGTACCTGAGCCACTACTTGAGCTGAAGCCCAGCTCTGGATTTGGGCACTCAGCCTTCCTGAATGTTCAGAGACTAATACTGGGTCCCTGTCTAGCAGCAGCCTTCTCCTCTCTTAGTGCTGGCCCTCCACAGCTGTCAGGGTGTCCATTCCAGGGGTGTCTATTCCAGGGGTGTCCTTGCACCTTCAGCTGTGCAGATGGCCACTGGGTTCCTTGCCAATCAGCAGAGCAACATAATTTCTTCTGTGACTTAATGAATCAGCTGTTCTGCAGCAGCTACAGCTGGAGCTGCAAATACCCACTGTCTTCTTCCTGAGCCTCAGGCAAATGCTGCAGCTGTGTGCTGTGGCCATTGTGGGTTATTTAATAACTTTTGTATTTACCACATCTCTGTAAAACTTTAAGAATTTTACTCTGCCAATACTCAGGAGAGAGTGGGCACAATGCTGCCTTTCTGCTGTTACACATGGCAAGAGGTGTGTCCTTGGTTGAGGACACATGGGTAATTGGCAGGAGAACTGGAAACAGAGCCTTCAGGTTCAGAGAGCCTTGTCTTTCTGAGTGAGAAGTAGCTCATTAGGACAAAGGATAAACCTACACCCACCTCACTGGGTGAGAGCCAAACTGTCTTGGTTTTCCCAGAGTCCGTGTTCCAGCCCTCTCCTGGCAGGTCACTGACTGGTCTGCACTGTCTTCCTGCAGCTCTGAGCTCTGTTACCTGCTTTCTCCAGGGTCCAGCATTTATTTCTCTTTCCTTCACACATGTGAAGGAAATGTATGTGTGCTTTCTGCAGCAGACACTGGCCTGTAACTTCTGACTGTGCTGCCAAGAATTGGAAGAGGGTACAAGTAAGTAGGCCTCTGTAGAAGTGCCTATTAATGCCTGTATTTTCTTGATCTGTTTGAAAAGCTCAGATTGATGTGAAGAGATGGTCCCACAATGTCTCTTCCATACGTGTGCATTTAGCAATGAAACCTGTGCAGGAAGACCTACCTGGAACAGACTGTTTGGTCCCTGCAGCCTGGCAGGACTCAGAGGAGCAACAGGACTGAGGCTGCTCCAGAAGTGAATGCTGGACAGCAGCGGGCTGGGGGTCAGCAATAATCCATTGGGGGTCTGCAAGACAAAAAACACTCCATGATGCACAGCTCAGAGTTACAGCTCCATGCAGCGCTCACCACCCCTAAAGCCTTACACAGCAGCTACTGGCTGTATTTTCCAGTGAATGCAGACACACAGCATGGTCAGCAGCAGCTGCCCATCCAGCCCTGCATCCTGTCTCTGGATAGCTGCACATTTTGTATCCCTTCATATTCAAATTCATTTATTTTCTGTTTGCTTAATGAGATGCACAGTTATTGTTTATTTGAACCACACTCATGCAACTATGTGACACAGAGAATAGTACCATGTGTGCCCCAGTGCCTGCCAACCCCACCTAGTCTCCTTCAGAATCAGTTTTTACCTTTTGAAGGGCGGCAGTTCCTTGACCTGACTGCAGCTTTTGAAACATTACTACAATTATGTGTGGAGCTGGAAGAGTCACTGCTGGCCTTTGACATTCACTCCCCTGATGGCACTTCTTTGCAATGGAAGAGGGTTCAACAGGGAGAGAGTCAGGTGTATGGGCTGGTGCCCAGGGGGACAGCAGAGAGCACAGCTAATTGTTTGAGAAGAACCAAAATGGCAAGAACTTAGAATCCAAGGCTTTTCCCAGCTCAGAGGTGCCTCCTCTCTGTGCCACGAGGCACAAGAATTGCTGGGATTGCCTGCAGCATTCTTAAAGCACAATTAGAGGGGAGGTAGCGTTAGAGCACATGCAAATCTTCATTCAAATGAAGAATTATGTGAATTATTCTGTATCCAGAATATCTTTTATCATGCCAAAAAAAGAACATGTGACACTTTTGAAAAAAGTATTTGGCATAATGAGTTAATCTTGCCAGTAATCTTGATGCCAATTATCAAAATCAGTCCTATTTAGCAAAGCACTTAATGGAATTTGAGTACACACTTAGCAAGCAAGCATGTGCTTTGCTGTCTCAGTGCTCTGCTGAACCGGGGCATCCTTTTGTCCTGATTTTAAAATATGTAAAGAGAAGACAGAAGACAGAGAGTACCTGCATCTCCCTGTAGTAACCAGCAGGTCAGGTATTCTGGTGCTCCCCACCAGGCCAGAAATACAAACTCCCACGCAGGGCAATTGCAGCCGGGGGTGTCCCTCAGCAGCTGCTGACACCAGGGCCCATCACCTCTGCTCTCTGGCAGAGCCTGCAGGCAGCAGGCTCACACAGGCTCCCGTGCATTTGGAGTGTCAGACTCCTCTGCTGAGCCGTGGCTGCGGTGTTTGGGGCTCAGGGCACAGGAACACAGACCTGCTTGTGACAGGACTGCACTGCAGCTCACAGCAGGGCAAACTGCTCGTTTGGCACCAGGAGAAGAGATGGGGAAGGCAAGGAGCAGCAAACAGTTATCCTGGTGATTCTGAAAGGCTCTTTAATACAAAGACCTTGGCTGCTCTTGAATGGTTTTGCTAAGGAATCTCAGATGAAGTGGGGTTCATGGAGAAATGTGCAGGGAAAAGACCCTGCCACCTTCACTGTGCTGAAGAAGGTGGATCAAAAACACCAAACCCCATGGAAGAAACCATGTTTGTCCCAAGGAGTAATAAACCTGTGCTATCACTGGGAAAGCAAAAGGTTGATGCAGTAAATCAGCTGGTCACAGGAGTACCAGTCAGGGTTGGGATATATCTGCATGCCAACAGAAGGGGCAAAGAGTGGGTGGAAGCCTGGCAAGGAGAATATGTCAGTCGTGATCTCATCAAGTGACAGCTCTTGTCAAAAAACCACTTGACAAGCGAGCACTTGTCAAGAGTCCTTTACTCTCTTCCCAGGGGCATGGTGCTTTCATGGGGAAGGAAATCAGCAGCAAGAGCCTCTTTCCTGTGCCACATTTCAAGCTGATGCTGCACTGGCAGGCGGATACTGGTGGAGATTTATGAGACTGACAACACACTGAATTAGGTCAGGATAAACACTCAGATCTACTTACAGAAGAGCCTACTAACCTTAAAACCAAAGATATAAGTAGCTAGACCCAACAACATTCAACTAAGGACACAGGTAACTGTGGCAACTGTACCAAGAACTCCCGTGGTTAACCTCCATTCTGTATTTTTTCTCTAAGAAGCTGCAGTTATCCAGAACTCCAAGTGCAGTTCTTGAGGGGATCTTCTGAAAATAATGAGGAAGACTTGGAGATGTTTATTCCTACCTAGATGCAGCCAAAGCAAGTCCTCAGAGACACCTGAAAAACTGACTGCCCTCCATTCATCTCTGGAAGCACGCTAACATGCCTAAAACAGTGCTAAGCAAAAGCTCCATTGATGAGCAGAGCACTAATGTCTGCAAGTTCTGCCAGAACCAAGAGCCAGCCAAATGAAGCCTCCAAATCTGTTTAATATTTAATGCAAAAAGAGCACAGGGCATCCCAGGCTTGTTCTCAGTATTGCCATGAGCCAAGTATCAAAACCACCAGAGGAAACCTGAGTGTAAACAATACCACAGGGCAGGCTATCCCTAAATTACACGCAGAAATTGATGTGTCACTTCATTTTCTGCCCACATGCAGCCATGCATCTGGTATTAGATGTGGAACCCATTGGGAAGTTCCTACTTGTGAAACATCATTGTAATCTAAGCACAGGAACAGTTTAAATAGAAATAATTCATTGCACAGAGAGGTTTATGTAAAGCAATGATGCTCATGGCTCCTTACTTCTGTGACAATGTGTGTAAGTACAATCTTGTCACTTCTAGCTGTTAGAAAGCACACAAGTGCTGTCACACATGCATTTCTGTTCTAATATTGATTGTGTGTATCAAGTGCCCTTTCACAGCATTCCACCTGAGGGTATTGCTCATGACCAGCAGGCACAGTGGAAAGCCATTTGAAACATCCTCTGAGGCAGCAGGACCTTCTCAGAACATACATCACTCCTGGAGCTGACATCCTGTTCTGCACCTGCCCCCGGCAGCAGGTGTTTCACACTGGGATCTGGTAAATCAGAGAACGTTTGAGATATGATGCATGTTCTTCCTTGGATAACGGGATGAACAGCAGATTTCCTGTCTAAATTATGGCTTTAGCTATTCTGCATTGTGATATTACAGTTATCTGAATAGAGCTGCTATGTAGTTTTCATTTTATATCCACTAGGATGAGTGTTTAGGATGCAGGGTGCTTCTTATCCACACTAGAAAAAGAATGCTAAAGGAGAGGATAAAAGCTGTGTTGCTGTATAGCCAAAAGTTTCAATAATTAGACCTGGGAACTACCCTACACAGATGCCATATGCCTCTTCTGTGATAGGACAACCTGTAAAAAAGATTTGTGATTACTTTAAGTTGGGTAACACTCATCACAGCCTTAGCTATCCCTCCTGTTAAAGCAGTGCCACAATCCTCAGCATAATTCCTTTCTCCATCTTTCAGGGCAGTAGGTACACCAGTTCATAGGTGCATGGGAAAGTTAAATATACAAAGAAATAATTACAAAACCAGGAAACAAATCTCTGTTCATCCTGTGGTTTGGGGACAGCAGCAGATTAAAGTGGGTTTGAAATAACTCACATTGTCTTTGTGTCCGGTTGGCATCTGATATTGTCAGATTTGCTCCCTACGAAAAAAATACTGTGGTTATACCACAGTTAGAGGTTGTAAGTTTGTCAATGCATCTCAGGTTTGGTTTGCCACACTTCTTCCTGCCAAACATAACTTCACTTAAAGGCTTTATGATGTCAAACATGGCAGGTGTCAGCCCACAAACTGCTCTTCTTGGTGACACAGCTTTGTATCTTGGTGGCTTACAGGTATGCCTGAGCTGCACAAACCCGCTCTGCAGCCAGCTGACAAGCTCAGGAGAGCAAGTGCTGGGCTGCCTGAGAGCACTTGCCAACACTCCCTTCTGCCAGGCCCTTGTGCCGTGCAGGCACACAGTGCTGCCCACATCTAACACCTCCAACACCTTCCAGCAGGGAAGAGGTGATGGGATTCTGGATACCGTGGGTCTTCTAGGCAGTCTGAAGTGAGAGAGGGCTTGTAACACACCTTTGTCCTCGTTTATTTACTGTCCAGTTTGCTACATTCAATGCCAGTATTTGCATCAAGTGATACTTCAGGGCTGGGGATCTTGAGAGATATTCCCAATTGGGATAATTTTATTCTTGGATTTTTTTTGGTCTAATTTTGAGGTGGTATTGTAAGACAAAACTCACCAATGAACATACTGAGTCATATCTATATGATTTTACCCTTCTGCTCTGAGCTCCTTTTTTCACAGACTAGCTTGAAAATGAGAACTCACTGTTGACATTACCACAAATATGTTATTAAAAAGAACAAAATAACCTTCTGGTTATTCAGTAGTTCTCTGCTGAAGGGAAGCTTTGGCAAGTATTCTGTGAATTTGTACAACTTTGGAAATTAAAACTGACTTCAGAGACTGTCTTAGAAACCACTTAATTTGCTCTGTATTTGGAAATTAACAAAAAGGTCACACTGTTTGAATGGATGTAACACCTAGTACAGAAATCTAACCAAGCATCCCACATGCTCAAGTTGTGACTTACAAAACCCCTGTGGTTTTCTTTTTGGCTTTTTCCTGTTTGTTTTGTAGATCTGGAGGCTGGTTTGAACTGATAAACAATTCACTAATGGCTGCCTATCTCCTTATTTTTTCAGGCATTCTGTGAACTGTGATGGCTTTTCCCACTCAATTAGGAACAAACCCCAGGAGAAACCTACTTTCCACCCCTTGTTCAGAGCACTGTTGTGTATCCCTCTTTCCCGTATGTTGGGGGTTTTTTCCCATCAGATGGTGATAGACCCACAGAACTAGCACTGTTGGCCACAAGGAGGGAATGCCTGGAGACAGGCAGGTCTTACCTGTGCAGTGAAGAAAGCTGGAGTCAGGGATCCCGAAGGAAGCGCGGGGCTGTTGAGGGCGATGGAACCGATGTCAGTGCTGGAGAGAATCATAGGTGGGGCAGAGATTTCCAAGCCTTTGGGTTTTTTAGCCTTTGGGGGAAGAGATGGGGATTTGGCCTTGGAGCCTGAGGAGAGGTTCAGAGGCTCAAGAGAATCTGAGTCGTGGCAACTGGAGTCAAGGAAGAAGCTCTTGTGTTCTGTAGGGAGGGGTGAGGTGGGAGACAGAGACGGTGATCTGGAGGAGGATGATGATGGAGATGAAATGCTGGCACTGTTGGGTAGCATTAAGGAAGATATTTTAGCTGATACTGAAGAGTTGAGGAAAGCAGAGGCAGCTGCTGTTTCAGAAGTAGAAGGCAACGACACCACGGGCCTTGTAACTTGTTTGTCTGTTTTGTTTGTCACAAATCTGATAACAGTTCGGACTTCTTCAACTGGTGTGTTTCCTTCTGACTTCTCCAGTTTTTCTGTTTTGATGGTCTTGTAAGGGTCTGGCTGGTTCTGCAGAGAGTTGATAGTGAAAGAGGAGTACAGGCCAGAGTGGATATATTCATTACGGCTTGTGCTTTTCAGTGCTGACAAGCTGTGCTTGTGCTGATCCCTGCCCTCCGAAGGCATCTTACAGTCGCTGTCCTGCAGCAAAAGGCTCTCTCTGCTGATTTCCACAGCATGAGGATCCATTTTTAAAATCTCAGGAAAAGAGACAAACTTGTATACAAATTTTTGTCCGATCACTTTCTTGATGATGTTCTGCAAATACAAAGAAGGTGCTAGAAAGATCAGCGTTTCAGAGGCACCCAGTACTGCACACACAAGGGTGGGGGCACTGCTCCCTCATAAAGCTATGCAGGTCATTTTGTGGGGCTCCAAATGCTGATCACCCTTGGCTTATTCCAATACCTCTCTCTGCTCAGCCAGGGAGTTCACTCCTGGCTCCTCATGGTTTCCAACAAAACCACCATCACTTGGTGACAAAGACCTACTGGTGGCCTGTTTGACTTCTGCTTCCTCTGAAGCAGCTTGGGAATAATTTCTTTCCAGTAAAAGCAATTCTGCTGCCTTGTGGAATCGAGCCATGCCACCACTTGCATTCCACAATAAATGCTAACTCCTTCATTCATGCCTCCTAAAACTGACACCAACACCTGAGGATGAAGTACTCTCAGAATGCCTGCAAGGGACAAAACCACCTCAGCCTCCTGGCCCCAGTTATTTACCCTCTGTTCCTTACCACATTAGGAAAGGACTGAGCTAAACTTACAGTGACTTTCTGTCAATGATCATGAACTTATGACAGTGAAAAATGCAACCCCTTGCAAGGGCTGGACATGTACTTGTGTCCTGCAATATCCCCTGCACCATCTCCAGGCTGGCATTAGGCTCAGGATGCTCAGTGGTGCAGGCAGAAGGCTTTCATCAGTCTAAACTGACCATGGAAATTAATTACTGAAGAAGTCCCAAACCTGTCAAAGTTTTGTAGAACCGTTTATTTTTTTTCTTTCAGTGTCCCCTTTATGTAAAGTGAACTGATTCCTTTTGAGACTTTTTATGAGCATCCTGTTTCTAGTCCTAGTGCTCCTCCTGCAAACCCAGGCTGGCTGCCTGCTCTAACACAATTCCTAGGGATATGTGAACTCCTCCACAAAGGCATTTCATGGCACAGGCCTGGCTTAGGGACTGGAACATTTACCACCCTAAGCCAAGTGCTGTAGAACAAAACAATATATATTCCTGAGATTTCCATGCTAATTTCCCTCTTCTTGAAACCCCTGGTGGAGAGTTTGTTAAGTCGCTCCCTTTAGTCCAGCACATCTGCTGCACCTCCAGCTGGTATTCTGCAGACATCTGCTTTGCTGTACATATGGGAATGTAAATATTTACAAATTTCCTAAAAAATCTAATTGGTTTTTCATTCTACCACAGCTTCTGACACCAATAGTGGAAACATTTGTTAAACTGACTGAAAATGGAACAGAAAATTAAGGAAAAGGAAAAGAGACATCACATTTCTCTGTATATAGAAAACAAGTAGTGCTGGGTGCTTGTACTGCCTGTACTGCACCTTGCTCGGTCGCAAAAGCGAGGATCATTTTGTTAAAGAAGAATCTGCACTTGAGTATCAGAACCTCTTCTGTCTCTCAGATGAGCTACTTCACTCTGTAATTCATCTGTCTGAACGCCCTGGCATTTAATTCAGGCACCTTCTTGAACACAAAACTAACCCCACAAAGAACCCTGGGATGCAGCTTTGCATCACAGGTCAGGAGCTGTGGTACAAATAGAGAATGTTGTTCCCCAAGCTGATAACAGGGATCTGTAGCAAAGAGAAGAATTAAATTCAGCAAGTTCAAACTAAAGGCACAAACTGCCCTCTTCATGCTGAATTGTACACACATCTACCCACCTGGCAGATGCTGCAGTGCCTTTTTTTGCCCTCCAGAGGTTCAGGACAAACAGCCCACAGAACCTGAATCTGCATGAGCTTTAATTCCTATGGCTTTGGGCTTGGCCTAGATTTTTTTTCATTGCTAATTAGGTGCAACATTGGATGATTGCACTTTTTCTGCACTCTCGATATTGCATTCTCTTTCCAAATTGCAAAATCTCCAAACTACTCGCATATGAAAAAAAAACAAACCCATCCCAACTGCATTTTTGTTTTCTTTCTTTTATATATATATATATATTTATATTTTCCTTTAAAATAATGCCTCCCCTCTGCTCCTGGCTACTTTGAATTATTATTAAATCAAGCACTAGCAACTGAGATTGTCCTTGGAAAATGTGACTCCCATCAGAACAAGATTCAATTTATTTAAGGATTGCACTTTTACACTGATGCAGGCTTGAAACGGGGGAACATTGCTATAAAAAGCAACTGAACGGACTGGTGAGTTTATACTTCCTTTGTTATTATTAAATGCAGTTATATTTTAAGAACATTGCAGTGCTGCTCCTCCAACTCTGTCAGCCTGCAGCAAAGGCCCACTTAACGATGGCTGGAGATGAAAAGATTCAAGTGCAGATCCCTCAAGCACTTTGCAGGCTTCTCTTAAATGTGTAGCCTGAGGAAATCTCCACCAGCATGAAAAAGAAAATAACGACACAAATTAATCAAGTGCCTGGGAAAGGCACTGACTTTTCCATATTCTTTTGACAAATAATTGAAGGTAAAAAGCAGCATATTTTTACCATCACCTCAGTGATCTGTCAGAATCATTCTGAGCTATGACAGTTCAAACCACAGCACAACAAGCAGTTTGAAAGGGCAAAGAATTGTGTCTTCCTGCATCTGCAAGAAGATTAGACCACTTGCTTGGTAGCAGGACAGTAATTGTATGTGAACATTTTTTATTGTTGTTGCTTGAATTTTCTATGTAAATTCCCTCATGAACAGGCTTGCAATGAGTGCTAGTGGCTGCTGGCCAGGGCTGCAGGGAGCCAGGGCAGGACTAGGTCCATGCAGCTGCTGCAGAGAAGAAATGAGCACCAGGGACAAGAGCAGGGGTTGCAGTCCAACAGCTTAAAAAAAAATCTTATCAATAGACAGCACTCTCTGACACTCAGAGAGAGGGCAGGCAGCAGGGAATGCCCCTCTTCTATTGGCTTCTGGAACACTTTACACTTGCCCCCTCTGCCCCCAGAGTACAAAACAGTGACTACAGCAAACGTGCCCACGCCAGCCTGCCCTGCTGAGAAGTGCTTGGAAAGCTGCAGTGCCTGCTGCCTGCTCCAGCACACCGGCCGTGCTAGGGAGCTCTGGCTTGTTCACACCCCAGCATTCAGGAACTCGCCCTTCCAAAAGCAGCCTCACCCAAGAGCTCTGAATCACCAGCTGCAGGGATGGCTCTCCTCTGCCCCTGTCCTCCACAGAGCAGCTGGCTGAGCTGGATGCCAAAGGCTGGGTGGACTGGTTGTCCCTGCAGCTTCAACTAGACTATACTGGGGCGGGGTTGTGTCAACTATGCATATGCACCACTGAAATCCATCATGTGTGTCTGTTTTGTTTTTATCAGCTCTGACTCCTGCTCAGTGTTTGAGCCATTTAGAGCAAACTAGGATGACCGAAGCATTTTAGTGGCTTGGCCCAAACCTGTTTGCTAGCAAGTTTGCTGGCTGCAACAGCCACTGGGGAGACTGATCTAGGAGATAGGATTCACTTCCTAGTCAAACTTCAGACTAATGAGGGATCTCAGGAGCAGGAAGACCATTTTTCCCTCTTTCCAGGAAGTGACCTATAATCAGGATGCCCAAGATGTCAAAATTTATGACAGAGCAGAATGAACTTGTCTGTAGGTACTAAACATCCCTGCTCAGAAAAGAAGACCAGAGCTGTAGCTGCTGCTCCAGCAGAATGAACTTGTCTGTAGGTACTAAACATCCCTGCTCAGAAAAGAAGAAAGACCAAAGCTGTAGCTGCTGCTCCTAAGTCCCACTTGGATGTGCTGCAAGTTCTCTGGCTCTGAGAGTACTGAGGGGTGTTAACAGGTGTAAGAACACAGGTTATGAATTCCTCCAAGAACTCTATCCAGGCTGCTTCCAGCTACTGGGACACCCAGACAGAGGGCTGCTCACACTCCAGCATCTGAAGTACATATGCTGGCAGGAGGTACCTGTGGCAGGATGGTCTGCTCTGAAAAATGGGAGTGTTCTGCATCAGCATGTGCAGGCAGGCAGATTCTGCTAGCATCACAGGTTATGCAGCAATGCTTTGTACACTGTGTGTGTAGAAGCCAGATTTTGTAATATTTTTGATGCAGGCACAGGTGTTACTACACAGTGCACCTGTACTGACCTTTGGAAGATCAAGGCTCCCATTTATCTGTATTTCAGTCTTTCTTCACTCACATCCAGCTGGAAGATAAAGGCTATTTCTCTGGCTAGCACCTATGACCCGGTTCTCCCCTCTCTCTACCTCAGGTCACTGAACATCCCTTTCGTTTCACATCAAACATGAACAATTTTATGTTTCTTTTTGAGGCAGGTGTTCTTGGGCTTTCTCCTCTACACATCACCTCTTACCGAGTATCAAATTCTTTACTCCCATCTTTCCATATGAATAGCACTATATAACCATTTATGCCATTTCAGCCAAGCACCTTCTTGACTTGCACAAATCACTCTTGGCTGAAGCTCCTTCCAGTTTTCTATAAAGGTTCTTTCTAATGTCCCTTAAAGTATTTCCTTGTAACACCTCTGACCTGCACCACTACATAATGTATAGTTGGTACTCCAGCACAATCACACTGCTGTTGTTTCATTGTAGGATTCTTTTTCCCCTGAGATGTCTTAGAGAAGACCTTCCCAAAAGTAAAATAATATTTTTTATTATACTGAAGTATATCCTCATTTATATCCTGAAGTTCAGAAAGCACCCAAGCAAGGGACCCATGCCCAAAACAATTCTTCCATGCTTCCACCCCACTTCCATGCTTCCACCCACACTTGGACATTAAAAATACAAACTAGTAACCAGGTTACAGGGTTTGACCTGTTACGGGAGGGAGTGAATGCATTGGCACCTCTGAATCCTGACAGCACCTGAGAAGCCCTGTCCCTGCACTGCAATGAGCACAAAGCAGCCCGTATTATTTTAATACTATAAATCATACTGCCAAGCCATCTAAACAAGTGGGCAGCCATTCACTGAAACTAAAACTGAAACAGACTGAATAGCACTCACTGAGTAAAGCCTCGGGCCACGCACTGCTCAGAAAAGATGCAAAAATATTCTCTGATGCTCATCACAACATTATGTGACTGTGTAATTAAAGATGCAGCATAACTCATGCAAACATTAGGGTTATCCAGGGAACTGTGATTCTTTTATTTCCTAACTTCTGAGGACTTGAATTCAACAACTTCTACATCCCATTAATGTCAGTATCGGCATGTAATTTCCTGGATTCACTCTCCTTCCCTCAAAAAAAACCTCATGGGAAAAATCACTAGCTTCTCTCTTGTGGTGTCATCGTGAAATATTCATAGGGACTTTCAGTAGTCTTGAAATCCCTGGTGACTTCCAAAATATATGTGCCATTACGGCTACCACAAAAACAAAATAACTGGATAACCTGAGGGAAAAAAGAAACTTATTAACCCTGCTTTCATAGGTATTTTACTTCAAGCTGAAGTGCTCTTTATGGGAATAGTGCTGAAGCATTTCCTAGCCTGAAAGTATTACAAGAGATTTCAGACAGGCAAAAGTGTGTGACATGATGAACACAAGCCATAGGTAGAGGGTAGGATGCAGTGCTGTCTGTCATCTGCTGTCATCTGTGCTGCTCTGTTGAGGCAATAGGGGAAATGCATTAAATAAAATAAGGGGGAGGGAAGAAGAATTTGGGGAACAAATGAAACAGGAAATGGAGTCTTCAGATTATCTACAAACATTTAGAAACTATAATCATGGCAGCAAATTATAATCAAGACATGCCATACTCTACATTTCCTGGGGTGCTTTTATGTGAATTTAACATAAATCTAGCCATCAGCCTCAAACAGCATGTCATGCTTGCTTTCAAAGCCAGGCTAAGAAACTTGTCCTAATTGTGTTATTTTTCTCCAGTACTGGAATTAATTTACTTTTAAGTTCAGATGAATCAGATGATGAATTTTAACAAGCCAGTGTTCCCCCCAAGCAAAAGGCAGAGCTCATAAACCCCCATTTATCCAGCAATCAGGCTTTATTTCTCCATGGTGAATAATTTCAAAGACAGACCATGAAACATTAGTTCAGTGTCAACTGTACGCAGTAAGAGCAGAGGGCAGTCCAAGAAAGGAAGGTCCAGCCCATGTGCCACCATAATTTCTAAAAAATCACTGACCCTTGTCTCAAACTCACATACTGCCAGATCACTTAGGTTATAGGAAGATAAATTCCTGTCAATAATTCCATAGTGCAAGTGAAGTCTTGTCCAGAGTTCTGCCTCATCTTTCCTGCTGCCACTCCCCCATTTGCAGCTCAGTGTTTGTCACATTTGTTCATTTGTTCATTTACCTCAGCACCCCTAGATGCCAACACATCCATCATTGTACACAAGCAGGGAGGGGACAAGGATCTCAGAAGGCTCCTTAAAGCTACCTCAGAGTCTAGACTGGTTTTAGGTTTATCTCACAAATTGGTGAATGGTCTAAAGGAAAAGAGCATTAAAGGCTGAGAGAGGCTCTTCCACCTCCCCAGTCCTTCCCCTTTTGTTCTGCAGGGGGGAAGGAAGAATGTCAAGGAGCCTTTCCTCCCTTTCTTGACTTCTTCCCTCCTGTGCTATGCAGTATAGACTGAACTGAAGGCAGAGGAAGCGTTCAGGACTGAACCCACTGCTGAGCACACCCTGCCACCCCACAAGGATTCACTATCTGCTGTCTTACACCATTCCCTCTCATACTTCAAAACCTGCAGCCACTTGCTCTGTCCCTCTGCGCTCTCCCAATAATCCAGCTTTCTCCACTGTCTGGGAACCTAGATGTCATGAAACACTATATCCACAGAGTGAGAAGCTCCCACAGTTTCATTCTAAAGGAGTTACTCTTTTAATTTAAACAGAAATAGCCATAGGTTTGGGTTGGGGCTCCCCATGTACTGATTGCAGTACATGGGGAAGAAAGAACTTATCCTTCTTTCCATCTAGGAGCTATGACCTCCACTGGACCGCAGAACGCCTGAAAAAATGGACAAAATACTTGTGCCACTCTTAGATAAAATTGTCAGACAGAAGACCATCTCTGCAAACAGCAAGCAGTTGTCTCAGCCAGAACCCTGATGAAGAAACTGTACAGCCACTCTGGCAGATGCTGCTTGAGCAGAGACAAAACAGATGACAAAGGTGTGTGTGTGCTGGGGGCAAGGAACTGAAAACAGAACAGGGGTTAAAAAAAAAAGGTTAAGGGATAAAAGAAGCAAGAGAGAGAGACAAAACAGATGACAAAGGTGTGTGTGTGCTGGGGGCAAGGAACTGAAAAGAGTACAGGGGTTAAAAAAAAAAAAGGTTAAGGGATAAAAGAAGTAAGAGAATCTCAGGTAAGGAGCTATTATATTCTATTACTTCAAAGAGATCAGAGAGATCTCAAAGCGTAAGTGCTACAAATATCTTGTTCCTTGTTTTTAAGCAATGTCTGTTCATCACTAACAGCATATTTGGGCTCTGCCCGGCTATGCTCTTCATGCACCAGCAGGCACTCTGTCTCCATTGATCCCAGTCAAGTTTATAACCAGAGGGGCTGGAGTCAAATAATGAAACAAGCTTCCCCATGCTGAGCAGAAGCCTTTTTAGCACTTAGCTAAGGGGATGCATCACACCAACTGCTCAGAACAGGCACTGTACTGTCCTCACTGAATCCTTTCATGCCTTCTCAGTCAGGCCACCTTTGAAACATATTAAGTGGGAAAATATGACTTCTAGTGGACAAAACACTAACATCTCTAAATCTGAAACGAAAAAATTTTTTCAGGAGAAGAAGCCCCTGTGGGTCATGGAAAGTCTGATCATCCAATTGTTCATTTTAATTTGCAGTCACCACGGTTTTTGATCGCTGTGTTAGATTGACTGCATAGCACTGTCCCCTGCAAAAATTAGTGTATTACAAATACTACATGACAACAGCACTCTAAGGTCAGTCCAGAAACAGTATCTACTTTCCTCTGCCTTGTCCGGGCAGCAAACATGGCCTAATTGTGCTGAACACTGGCATAACTCACTGTATAATCTCATCTCATCCCTTTTCCTGAAAATCAAGAAGAAAACAGGCCACTAAGCACAGCTATGAAGTTCTCCATTTTAATATACAAAATCTATAACAGTCTTTTTTTATTAATATTTAATCTTCAATAATATAGGAAAGAGTAAAACCTAATAACTTGGAATTTATATATCTTATTGAAAAATATCCATTTAAGGAGAACTAATCCTGAGAAGATTTAATATCAATTAGTAAAAACAATATAATATTCATCAAAAAAAGGGCACGGAAACAGGTTGGAAACTCCTTGAATTTACTGGAGTCTAAAATCAAGAAATGTGAAACACAAGATTTGTGTCCTACAATATTTGTATATTTGTGTTCTACAATCTTTTCCTTCTAGTATCTTGACTGGTTAGAGGAACTTCTAAGTAGCTTCCATGGAGAGGAGAAATATTAACTGGTAGCATTTCTATTTTCTTAGTCTGCATGAGAATAACAAAATTTACCTTGTCATAATAGTATCTGAGCGCCCGGCTCAGCTTGTCATAATTCATATTAGTTTTGTTTTTTCTGAGTCCCCACAGCTTAGCCACTTCTTCTGCCTTGAGCAGCTTGAATTCGCCATCATTAGACGTCCAGCAAATGAGGTGCTCGTGTTTCTGGTCTAGCAGCAACTGCAAAAGGAACTGCCACAGAGTGATTGCACTCTCCATACCTAGAAGGGACAAAGGAGAGAAATGTTTTTCAAACAAGTGTGAAAAACATTTGGGAGCAGGTGTTCCACCCAACACTCATTTCAGTAATAAGTTCTATACAGGAGTCATCCTACATAACTGAGAAAAGGAAGCTACCACATCATTCACAACCAAACATCCGTAAGACCTACAGGTCTTCCACTGCTTTTCCAGTATTCTTCCCACTGCTGTTCTCTGAAGGGTCACATAAAATAGAGGAAGTATTTAGAAAAGCACCGCCCACAAAGTTCACATTATACAAGGTCACCGCCAGTTCTGGCATCTTCCATTCATTACAAAGGAACACATAAGGCAGGGAGAAAAGGACTTAACATGACTATCCACTGAAATGATACCAAAAACCTGCTGTTTACTGTCAGGAGGAGTTTACTGGACTTGTTCAGATACGTCACTGTGAAAAAGGGGAGGACAAGGGAAGACCAGAGCAATTGCCTTTGATTACAGGACCAGAAGCTACATCCCTCCCACCACCAGATAGTCTTTGCCTATTTTGTTTTTTCCCAGGGCCTCAAATTAATCTTACTTCTGTTTGCCAATTCAAATAGCTCAAAAGACATTCTTTATTTTTTAGAAAAGCTGGAAGTTCAGTACAGTTAAGCACAGTAAAGTAAGATGTTTACCCAGAACCTCTCTTTAAGAGGGATCTTTTCTTTCATTATCATACGTATTACTGAGAATTAGGAATATTTTTAACAGTGCCTGAGTCTCATATCTGAGGTTGGTTGGATTTTTTTTTTCTCTGCTAAAGGTTTTTTGACTATTATTCTCCTCTGCTAATTAACTGCCTGTGCTACTGAGCCCTCCCTAAAAGAAACTTTTTGCTCAGGTACTGCAATAAAAGGATAAACAGAAGTCTGGCTGTATTCCAACTCAGTACAGGTATACGCACAACTTAAAAACTGGGAGCATTACAGCTGCTAACAACTTGTCATTTTAATGAAGATGCAGCTAAAGTTGACCTTTTAAACTACAGAATCATTAGATGAGATTTTCACTCACATTCAAAAACATTCCCAGCCTTAGCATGTTAACACTGGATCAAATAATCTTTTTGGCCTCTTCTGATTCTTAACTTGGATGTGTTGTGTCACAGAGATTTATTGCTAGTATTGATTAATTTACTGTGGTGCTAATGGGGCTAATTATTACCTGACTTGCCTCTGTGCATGAAACAATAGGTATTTTTGTCTTTATCTAGACAAGCTCACGATTTTTAGCGCCCTCGTTCATTTTGTTTCCCAATACATTGTTGTTTGTGCCCTAGCAGGTGACACGGACAGGACGCCAGGCTTGCTGCCTGCCGCTTCCCTGGATGCGCGTACCACAAGAGGGCACAAGACTTCCAGCTATCCCCGGCAGGGAACGGGACAGAGGGACGCTGCGGGAACAGCTGCCTCTTCACGTCTGCCCCAGCAGGAAGGAAATCACCCTGCGTAAGGTTCACGAGTATAAAGAACCACAAATTGCATGAGCTGCACTAGTGTAAAGCAAGTTAATGATACTGGAGAACGCCGTCTATAGTTGTGTGGGAAACACGGTTTGGAGCTATGTTTTAGTCCAAGTAATTTTTAAGTAAGCTGGCCAAACAAGGGTTGGCAGAATCAATGATGATTTTATTATCTCTTCAAAATCCTCATTTCTCTAATTAACTGAGAGTCCCGTCTGAATGACAAAGACAAAACCACTGATGCCCAGCTGAGTGACACCGTAACTACACAGCACTTTCAAAGTCATTTGAGGCTCCTAGGACTGTTAGGGATGCTGGAAACAGAACAGCCTACCTATATGGAAGGTCTGGCACTTTCAAACGTTTGCATTTGCTTCACTGCAATTTTATACAAATGCTTTTCCCCAGAAAATAAGGCAAGAAAAAAATTTCATAGCTAGGATTAAGTATACCTAACAGTTATTCACTTTACAGCCTGTAAAAGTTCCTTTAAACTACACTCTCTTTGCAGACATTAGCACCTTTAACAGATTATTTATCTATAACTTCATAAAGTGTCCCTATTAATCTGGTATCATAAATACACAGATACACATCATATATGTATATACTTTCTAATACCTGTAAGTTTTGCAATTTACTTTGCTAAAAAGTAAAATGCAAAAATGCATTTATATACAATCATATTCCTCTTAAATAATTCTATTTTCTCTCTAATTTCTATTTTCTCCCAAAATTCTATTTTGGGAGCAGGAACACCTGCTCCCAAAATCACATATTTTGCAGCCATACCCTGCATAATTTCAACTTGCATCATGCAACTCTTCCTAACAAGAAATCACAAACAGAACTTTTGTTGCTCTGGAAAATTTCAAGTACCATATAAATATCTTTCTTCAAAATTGTACTAAAACGTGTCCCATGCTACAAAGACCTGTCAGCGGAACTTCAGCTGAGGAAAGTAAAGAGGGTTGAGAATTATAGAAGAAGCAATACAAAGTTCACCACCATATCATCACCCAAACAGTCTAATACCCCAGAGACACAATTCTCTCACCCAGATCTTAAACTACAAGTTCAGCACTCATGGCTCTGAAGAGAGGTAGGTGGAACTCAACACCAAGCGAAGAACATTTTGCTGCAGCCTGCTCCATCCCCATTCACCTCTGCCCATGAAAACTCACAGAGTAATCTACAGCTAACTTTGTACTACACTTTCCATTATGAACCTGTTTTCCGATGTGTATCATGTGTAAAATGTAAACAGTTTTGGATTCCATTTTATCTACTGAGTGTGGCACTCAAGGTGACTCAGCCACAGGCATAATGTAAAATGTATGAACAGCACAAGCCTGGGCAAGAGAATCCTACAGGAACACTCTACAAACCACAGGTCCCGGCGAGCAAGGAGGGGTGACTCCCATCGGGTTATTACACAAAAGGTTACTGCCACATTTTTGGAAGTGGCTCAGTTATTCCAGCTGAGATCCATGGATAATCTCTGGGGGTCACTTCAGGTGCTGGACCCAGGCCAGATGGCTGTGGTGGGATTACATTTAGGCAGCTCCTCACAACCTATCTTGCCTGACCACAAACTCTCCCAAGCCTGTGGCTCTGAACAGGCTTTATAAAGGACCTCAGACTTCAGCATCAATGTGCTCAGTTGGTACATGCATAAATCTTCTACTGGTATGACCTGTCTGCCCCTACAGAAATGAGATTAAAACAGCTCAATGCTGCATTGTGCCTCATCCCTCCATCTGCCACTGAGTTCCTGTATAAAGCTTCCCATACTGCTCATACATGTATGATTCCTACATGAGGCAAACCATGCCAATTACATTTTCAGCTGATCATTAATTGTATGGTCCTACTCTTCTAACCACCAAACCTGAGGTGTGCAGGTCTGAGTTGCACTGAATATTCACAGCTGTAACTACCTATAAAAGAAGCCTTGGTCTAAGTATATATGGTGAAGTAAAATCTCAGATTTCTTGAATTTGGTAAACTGGTGTTAATCTCATTTCCATTCTGTAAAATGTGATTTGCAGGGAAACAGTTGTAGGAGAATCCTCTGCCTGGACTCCTGTCTGAGAAGGAGTTTGGAAAGCAAAGGGGTCCCTTCTGCACCCCATGACTCAAAGGGAAGGCTTCTCTAATAAACTTTGTCTGAAGCTTCCATTCTGCCCATGGCAAATTCCCATTCTGCCCACAACAATAGAAAAATCTAAGATTCTGCAGTGACAGGATTTTTTAACTGATACAAAATATGTAATTTCCAAACAGGCCAACAGAAGTATTAACCTGCCTTTCTCAATGGGAACTGTTTTGAATTCCACAAGATACTAACTGTTCCCTTGGGAGGACAGAATGGCCACACAGGGCTTAACTTGTGCCTCATTTGAGTGGTTAAGCAAGAGAATCACTACAGATGTATTGGATTTATTAGAAGACATGTAATTCAACCAAAAACCTGGTACCTGTATTAAAAGTCATAATAAATTATGACTGTGAGGAGTTGGAGATCTTCAGAAAACATATTTCATTTATGTATTTTCTAACTCTTTTGAATTTTTACTGACTCAAAGGGAATTCAGTGTCATGCCTTACTTTGACAGAAAGGGTTGTTAGGATGTGGTCACTTCCTACAGTGACCACATTTCATTCAACTCCTTATTAATATTAAATAGTAATAATAAATATTCCTCTTACTTCTGTGCTCAGTGCAAGATTTGAATGCAGAGCAATAAATAATATATGGAACCACATACTGAATTACATGGATTAGCAGGAAAAATAGTTTTATAAAACCCCTTATTTAGATAGGCACATGTATCAATGGTACAGCATGAGAAACACAACCTATGTTAGAAACATATATCCTGTATCATGGAAAGCCTAATCAAAATTCATACAGACAAAAGAGTCGATTTTTTAATCCATTAACTCTGACATATCTGATTTTGCCATCTTACCATTTTTAAAATATTTATACAATGCATTTGACAGTCAAAGATGCTTTCTAAGCCATGAAACAAAATTTGCTAGTTTGACCTGACCTAGATAGCCTAGCAATTTTACTTTGTGATCACTTCCACTACTGGTGGTGCAAATAATCACAGGCATAGTTAGAAGAAATTATACTTGGAAATGCTGTGTTCAACAGCAAAATGGTATTTCAGGATTGAAAATTTTTCTGAAAGTCCATTTCTCTGGCAGCTGTGACAGGGAACCATGCTGACACCATCTGCATTAGCAATTTACATTCCTTGCAATGTGCTTCCCCCCATACAAACCCTAGCAACTGCATGGTCAGTGTGATACAACATGCCCTCCACACACCAAATTTTAAGTTTAGGTCTGGTGCCAGAAGGCAGCAAATCAGAGTATCTGTGCTGATAATTCTGCTCCTATTCCAACCAAACTGAGGGACTAACAGAAGTGACTAAACCTGGAGCAGCAGAGTCAACATCATAAGCTCTCCCTGAAGAGGATAATGGAAATGGACAGAGA